GGTCTGCCTTGGGATCTGATTGGGTATCTTGTACCGGGGGTTGCGCTATTCCGGCGACAATTCCCATCCCATTGGTTGTATCAATCAAGTCCACTGGGCAGATGTGATGACTCCCTGGAGTGAATTCTGCCACAAAGTCTGCCAAAGCTTGGACAGTTATCGTGGTTCTAGATTGAAACTTGATGTCGAACTGTCCCAACTCGGCTGCCCACTTCAAGACTCGTCCAAAAAAGTTCGCCCTCTCAAACAAAGCTTTTAACGGAAAAGCTGTGAGGACGATTATTGTGTGGGCGTGGAAGTAATGTGACAACTTCCTTGATGCCATCATCAAGGCTAAGGCTAGTTTTTCCAATGGTAAGTACCTGGTTTCTGCGCCCAGCAATGTCTTGCTGACATAAAAGATGGGCATATGTTAGATCCCTTCCGCTCGGACCAACACTGCGCTAATTGCGTGCTGTGAAACTGCCAGGTACAAAACTAGTTCTTCTCTAGGTATTGGGGTCACTAGCAACGGTGGAGAAGACATGTATTCTTTCAAACTTTCTAGGGCGCGATCGCATTCTTCATCCCACTCAAACTTGGCCTTTAATGCATGAAAAAATGGTCGACATCTGTCTGATGACCGACTTATAAACCGATTGAGCACAGTTGCCATGCCGGTGAGATGCTACACTTTTTTTACTGAGTTGGGCCTCTCTAGATCTTGGATTGCTTTGATCTGAGAGGGGTCTGCTTCTATACCTCGGTTGGTCACCAGGAAGCCTAGGAATTTGCCAGATCTTACGCCGAACGCACAATTGGATGCATTAAAGTGTAGCTTGTGCTTCTTCAGGATCTGAAACATCTCACCTAGGTCCTTGAGATGGTCATTCTTATCCTTGCTCTTGACTACCATGTCGTCGATGTAGGCTTCCATTTTTTTGCCTAATAATGGCTCGAACATCTTGGTGACCATCCGTTGGAATGTTGTCCCTGCGTTCTTAAGGCCAAAGGGCATGACCTTGTAACAATACAGTCCTCTTGGCGTCGTAAAAAATGTGACCTCCTAGTCTGGCTCATACATAGCGATCTGATGGTAACCTCTGTACGCATCAAGAATGCTAAGACGGTTGTGTCCTGCCGTCAGATCTACCAGTTGGTCTATCCGTGGTAAAGGAAAGCTGTCCTTTAGGCATGCCTTGTTGACCGTTTTGTAGTCCACGCAGACACGCCATTTTTCATTTTTGTTTGGCACCACTACTGTATTGGAGATCTATCTGGGGTAGTGCACCTCTCTGATAGCTCCTGCTTCTAGTAGGTTTTCTACTTCTTCCGCCACTATCTCGGTGTGGTGGAGTGCCGATCTGCGAGTGCGCTATATAATTGGTCTGGCAGTTAGGTGGACATTTAATTGGTGACAAATGAAGCTTGGCTGAATGCCAGACATGTCATACGGCATCCAAGCAAACACTTCGATGTTAGAGGTCAAGAATTCCATGACCTCTACTCTCTCAGTGCTAGACATAGATGAGCCAAGCAAAAAGAACTTATCCGGGTTCTTTTCATCTATTCTTACCTGTACCAAGTCTTCCACTACCTTTTGTTCAGCGGCTTTGCCAACATTCGCAAACAATTCATTGCTCTCGGGCTCTTCTACCATCTGAACAAACCCCATAGCAGCTCAGTTGCCATTTACTGTGACGAAGCATTGCTTGGACATAATTTGGTCTCCATAGACCTCTTCAATTTCTCTGGCTTCGTTGGGGAGCCGCATTACTTGATGGTAGGTTGACGCTACTGATCGCATGGCATGCAACCATGTTCTTCCCAAGATTATGTTGTAAGTGAAGGGCACTTTCAATACCCAGAATTTCACTTGTTTAGTCATGCTTCCTGCTCTGACTGGCAGGATTATCTTACCGACTGGCCACTCTGGCATTGAGTTGAACCCGATCAGGGGAGATACGGCAGGTGTCAAGTCTTTGTCCTTCAATTTCAGCTGTTTGAAGGTTTCGTAATACATTATCTCGCACGAGCTTCCTTGGTCGATCAAAATCCGTTTGATGTCATAATCCATGACGCAGAGTGTGACGAACAGTGCATCATTGTGAGGGCAATATATCCTTGCCAAGTCTCTATCTGAGAAGGATATGACGTCTGTGGCTTCTATTCTCTCCTTTTTGATGGTAGGTTGCGCACTTAGTACTTCCCTTAAGTGCTCAGCTTTCTTGATCGTTCCCCTGAGCTCACATACGCGCTCAGGTTCAAATACTCCATATACCACGTTAATCACGCCTTGAGGTGAGGCATCGATCGACATTCCATCTAGGTTATTGTGGTTCTGGGGGGCTGGCTGCGTCCCACCTTCTATGTACCGGTCCAGGTGACCAGCTGCCACTAACTCCTCCAGATGTTGTCTCAATGGCGTGTAATTTTCAGTGCAGTGCCCCTTTTCCTTATGGAAGGTGCACCGGGATCTTTTGTCATAGTCTTTTTGTGCTTCTCCCAACTTAGCTGGCCATCAGACGAAAGATTCATCACGTATCTGACTGAGGATCCGATAGATCGGCTTTTTGAACACTGTGGTAATGGCAGTGCGGACTCTCAACCATTTTTTATCTTGGTCCTCTTCGTTATCTCACATGCCTCGTCCATTCTTGCTTGGACGTTCTACCGTGTTGACTTTTGCCGTAGTCTTCTTATCTGGCGTTGTTGTTGCACTAGATTTTGTCTTAGCACGGGCGCCATCCTCCTCCACCCGAATAAGTTGGTGCACTCTCTCCATCAAGGTTTCCATCGTGAGGGGTGACGTCATAGTAATTGAATCTCTCAACTTGTTTCTGACTGGAAGTCCTCTTTTGTATTGTGTGATGGTGAGATTGGTGGGGCAGTCCCCTATTTGGTTGAACGTCTCCTAGTAGCGATTGTTGTAGGATCTCAATGTTTTCTTGTCGCCCATGTCAATAGAGAGTAGCTGATCGATCTCCACTGGGGTCTTGGTGTTCGTTCTGAACCTTGCCACGAACACTTCTACCAATTGTGCCCAGGAGGCTATGCTGCCTTTTGGTAGCCTTTCGAACTAGGTTAAATGTAGGTCGCCAAGGCTTGATGGGAATAGGATGCACATCAAAGCCTCGTTTCGCCAGTATACTGCCATGACTTGGTGAAAGTGTCTTAGGTGCGAGTAAGGGTCTGTCTTCCCTTTATACGTAGTAAATTTGGACTGAAGGAAGCCGGAAGGTAGGGGCGCATTCTCAGTTGCCGGAACGAACGGCGAGGTCTGCAGTCTTGCTAAGGCTTTGTCTGTCGGTTCGTAAGCAGGGCGCGCTATTGGCATTCCTACGTCGATGCTTCCATGCGTCCGAGGAGCCAACTGCTGAAGGGCTGAGACTCTGTGCGGGTTGCGCGCCCTGGTATCCTCTTTCCATCGTGTCTTTTCTTCTAGCACAGTTCGTAAGTCGGACGATCTAGGTAACTCCGTCTACCTAGATGATGTCTGGTGCGTGCATGAAGGTCGATAGGTGCTTCGCTCAGTGTAAGACCTTAATGTTCTCGTTCTCTCAGACCTGGAGTAACGAGTCCTAGAGGTCCTTCATTGAGTATTGCCTATCCTGAGGCTTCTACTCTCTGCTTGTGATGGTGTGGTATGCCTACCACGATCCTCCGAGTGGCGAGGTGGCGTGTTGCCTATGCGCCCCTCTCCTGTCGCCACCCCCTTTCCCTTGATCTGGCGCTTCATTGCCTCCATGTCCGCCGCCATCTTTCTTATTAGTTCATCCTGCTTTTTTACGCGATCCTCCAGAGCTTGAGGGTCGATTCTTCGTCTTTGTCTTTCAGGACTTTGTGAGCGAGAGTGACGGGGGCTGTTGTTCCGCCTCTCCCTTGCATCCCTCCGGGGGTTCTGTCGCTGGGGCTCTAAGTCCGTCATGGGAGGGATAGAAGGCAAACCTTCGCGCCTCCCACCCCCCCTGGGGTTTGTCCGTCGATAGCGGACTGCGGCAAATCTTCGTTGTGCGCCATTGCTTTTAACTATCGAGGAAAACTTGATCAAGAGGTTTTGTTCTTTGTCTGATCTTCCTACAGACGGCGCAAATTGTACGATCAAGAAATATTCTTCTCGTATAATCCTGTTGATCAAGTCTGTGCTCCCTCGTACGTCGTCGCTTTACTCCCTGAAAACACAAACGTGAGCTAGCCGGCGGGTGTGTGCCGGATACCTCTCCGATGCCTAAGTCAGCAAAACAGATAAATAGACAAAAAGCTCTGTGTCTTCGGGAATCAAAGTTGTGTTACCACTCCAAAGGTGATGTTGTGAGCTTTTATAGGTTCCGCGTGGCACAATCCTAATAAGACTCTTACTTCTCCATGTAGAGTCCTCCTAGGAGTTATATTCCTGAAAGATAATACATATCCTTCAACATCCCCCTCACTGCTTAAACCAAGTGAGATGATTTTACCACGGCTGGATGTTAATACGATCGAGATAACATGGCCATGCTAAAGCCGCAGACTAGACCGAGCTCCATCTAGCTCGGCTCTTCCTTTCACTGCGTATACCTCGGTTTGACATATTCCAACTGGGCTGTTGAGATCGTGCTAACCATTCCGAGCTTAGACCGAACTAACCCATAGCACGGTTCTGAGGAAAGCTCAACATACTTCGGCTTAATATGGTACGACCGAGCTAACTGCTCCTACTCTGACCGTGGTGACTGAGCTAACTACAAGGCTCTTTCTTTACCGGGATAACTTCTAGGCCCTTTTTACTCGGCCTCTCTTATTATGGCCCACAGATCGGCCCCTTTATCCAGCTCGGCCCAATTTACTCAGTTTAGCCCAATTTATTTATAAATTACCCTCTCAATTACAATTGAATTTATGTTCTTTAATTTTAAATTAATTTAGAATAATGCTTTTGAAAGTAGTTGTTTAACTGTAAACAACACTATTAATTGAATTACATTAACATAATTGAAAATTTCAAATTCAAAGTAAATTGATAATTATAATAAATAAATTGACACAAGATGCAAGTTATGTGAACAACTAATATAATTTCTTTTTTCTTTTCCATAAATTCAAGATCAACAGAACCTTACATTACAAGATATTGATTCCATTAAGGAAACCCAATGACAATTACCACAAATATTGGAGTAATTTGTTCCAAGCTTCCCAAAAAAAAAAAAAAATTGCAAATCAACCTGGTATTTGTTAATTTAACTTGATTTTCCAATCCAATAACATTCTAAATATGGAAGTAAAACCCAAATTCGCCAAGACTAAGAAAATCGTTTTCTCACTAACCAAACACCAACTCAGAACTGGCCACGTCCAAAATCAAACCCATGAGGAATCATAGAAGTAGCACAATCACACATCAAACCCAGTCCACCATGATTCGCACTTTCATTCATACCAAACATCATTGAAGAATTCGCACAATCAAACCCATGAGGAACCGTATAAGTAGCACAATCACTCATCAAACCCAGTCCACCATGATTCGCACTTTCATTCATACCAAACATCATTGAAGAATTCGCTTTCATTATCATCAACTCATCAGCTTTCATACTCACATTCTTCTTCAACTCCTCCAACGCCACCACGTACTGCTCCAGCTCCTCTAACCCTAGTTCCTCAACCGCCTCATCCCACCAAAATCCGCCGTCATTCGAAGCCTTCTTTGTCTCCTCAATCACCGCTCTCCGCCTCTTGTCCGCCTCCAATTCCTTCGAAACTTGGGCGTATTTCTCATTGAAATCGAGCACCGAAGGGCGGTTGTTCTGCTCGGCGGCGGCGGAGGTTCCGGTGAGGTATCGATCGATGACGGCGTCGACGCTGGGTTGGCCGAAAGCGAAGGTGCGCTTTCCGGGAGATTTGACGACAATGGCGATCTCAGCGCCGCTGAGGATGCAGAGTTGGCTGGCCTTCTTGAAGAGGCCGGCACGACGTTTCGAGAAGGTGACTTGGCGATTGCTTACGCTCTCAATCTTCTTGATTTCGATCTTCTGGCGGCCTTGGGTGGTTTTCTTGGTGGGGTTCATGGTGACCATGCAAGAGAGAGAGAGTTGTTTGCTTGGAGAGAAAGTTAATGGGGGAAAGCTGTTGGAAAGAGAGTGGTGATTTGAGATGCATTTATGTAAAGTAATGCATGCCTTGTTTTAGGAAAGTTCTAAAATTTTGCTGATCAAAGGTTCCTTAATATATGTCAGTGTTGTAATAAGGGAAGTTTTTATTTTTAGGGCAAATTACATATACACCCCTCCAGGTTTGGTTAAATTACAGATACCCCTGAGGTTTCGGAAATTACATCCCGCCCCCTGAGGTTTGTATTTTCATAACAATTTACCCCCTGAGGTTTATATTTCATAACAAATTACCCCCTAATTTCTTATGCAAATATAGCATTCAGGGGGGAATTCGTAATTTCTCAAACCTCAGGGGGGTATCTGTAATTTTGTCAAACCTGGAGGGGTGTATATGTAATTTGCCCTTATTTTTAATATTGGAAGTTGTCTGTAATATGCAAAAGGTTTGTCCAACAAGTATTATACATTAGATATCTGATTTTTACAAACAATCAAATTTATTTTTAAGTAATACTTTTGAACGTAGAGTAGAGTATAGCGTAGAACTCATATGCATGTTTGATTGAATGGATTAGAATATGAGATTGTAATTATTAATTCGTGAGTCCAATTATCCTATGTTTGTTTTAACATTTGGTTTATGATTATTAATTCAATAGATAATTAATCCAACAAATTTGTAGGATTATTAATAATGGGGTGGGGGTAAGATTATTAATCTAATAGATAATTTTTCATATTAATTCAATTGGATGGTGAATACCACACTAATTTGATAATATTATTAATACCCCACGATTAGTCTTGTGAATCAAACATGACTATAATTTTATATCGACCAAAAATAATGTTGAGAATTTGAGTCGACAGAGCGATTCGCCATTTTCATTGATTTAAAAATTAAATTTAGCCAATGATTATAATTATTTGTTCATAACCAATGTCATCTGCAAATTGTAACCAAATCATCGCTTTATCTCATAACCAACATTATCTTGTAAATTCCACCTAACCACCTTAGACTCACTTTGAGTTGATCATACTTCTATTTATAATTTTTTTCAAGCTGTAACCAACATCACACACATACTGTACACACCTAGAATTTGACATTTTCAAGCAAATATTCTGATGCAGAGGAAAAACATCAAATCTTAGATGAAAATGGTGGGACATATTGTACACACCTTGAATCAATTGCATTCGTCCTTCTTGTGTGTAGGCTGAGTAGAGTGAAAATTTAGAAATATCTAACTGTGAAAAGGAGTCCTTTGGGTGGGTTTCTTTCCATCACTGAGAGTTTCAGCTTTTGGGCTTGGAGTTCTTGATTTCAAACTTCAATTGAACTGCATCGGATTTGAGAGGAGGTGAACTGCAGTAGACTTGACCATTGTGTGAATTTATTTTATTTAACTTTACAAATGCTTAAAATCAGGTTTCATGATTTTATTATGATTGTTTCTCCCCTTTAATCTGAATCTCTTATAGTTCATTTGTACCTATTTGACTTCCATGCACGGTAGCAGTACAATCAACTTGTTCAACATTGTCGAAACTAAAGACGGTGGGTGAACAGCGTTGTTTCAGACTGTTGATTTGATTGCTTTGAGCTTTTTCTCGTGGCTTCAAGAAAGATAAAGATTGGACAATTCCTGGAAAACCACCATGGTCAGGCAATCTCCTAGTAGAGACCACAGGTCCAAAGGCGTCAAGACTAAGCAGGTTCTGCAAATTTGTGTGCTGCTTGCTGTTTGCTTTTGGTTGGTGTACCAAGTTAAGCGTTTCCATGATAAGAAGATCATCATTTGATGAAAGTGATGCAAAGATCTCAGTTAAAACGCATGTTGATGATGAAATTTTGAAACTCGGACGAAAAGGTCTCCTTCCTCGATTGGATGAAACTACTATGAAAAATGAGAAGCATGATGAAGTAGAAGCAGAAGAGGAAGAAACTGGAGGAGGAGGAGGAGAAGAAGACAAGCAGCATGAAGAGGAAGAGGTAGTTGAAGACGACAAGCATGAAGAGGAAGAACCAGAAGACAACACCACCGAAGAGAAAGAAGATGAAGGGAGAGAAGGTGCGGATGATGAGATAGACGAGCATGATCAAGAGAAATCTGAGGTGGAGGTTGAGCGTGAGGAGGTGGGGACAACTCTGTTTTGAATTCTACATTGACAACAGAGTCCAACAATCAACCCGAACTAGGCAATGACTCGACAAAAGGGAATTTAGAAACTAATAATTTATCCATGCAGGGTGGAATAGAAACCAAACCGCATTTAACTGACGCTCAAAATGCTACAGTAGGAGATGTTGCTCTGGGACAAGAAAGCAATTCTTACGCAGCTTCCAATAACAATCAGTCTGACTCTAATTCAATGATTTCCAGTAATACTGAAAACACAGAGGAAAATACCGATGCAACACTGAATGAGAAGTCAGACACCGACAATGGAACAGATGAAAGCTCAGACGAACCAGCCGAAACTGAGAATGCAAATGAAGATCAGCATGATCCTATTGATTCTTCTGATTCTTCCATTTCCTTGGAGAAGGATGTTCGCAATGACCTTGATCCTTGTGCCTGAAATTATAACTGAAGGAAGCAACAGTGAAGATGCTGCAGCAGAATAGTAGTTTTGTTTAGTTGTGAAATTTTGATTTTCCTGGTTTGTTTCATCCTTTAGAACTATGTTTGTGTGAAATATTGATTGATGTCTTAGAGAATACGATTTCAACTTCGCACAAAGTGTAGGCAAGTTGATAATGTTGAAGGTTATAATCTGTTACCTTTCTAAACTCAAAACATGTTACCTTTCACAACCAACCAGCATAACCCTAAACCTGTAACTCTTCATAACTATTTTAAACCCTAAATGTCTCATCTTCATTATCATCATAAACTCTTTTGAACCAGAAAGTCCAACGTATTACTTTTCATTAGTTATTTCACATTTGTAGCTCTATTTTCCGCGCTCCTTTCGAAAGGTGAATAGCTCTACAGTTCGGACTCCACTTGTGGTTCTGAATCTGATTTCACAAATGCAATGTGAAATGATGAAAACACAAAAAGAGACCAAATTCGGCAATTCTTTTTGGAAAATCAATGTTTGAATCAAATGCCAAAAATGAACTGCTTTGCCAGATTATAGAATCGCCACCTATATATTTTTAGGAAATTTAGGAAACTTGAGACTCATGCCAAAGGTCATTAGTCTGTCATCACCAAAGTATCTCGACTAGGGAACTTAGATATGAGAGGGGAAGGCCATGAATTGAGCACCTCTCTCGCCCGATTAAAGATCGGCCTCTACTAATCATGATGTGTTTCTTATTTACATTATATGCTCTTATTCTAATTATTAGACTATTTTTACTATGTGACACACACACAAGGTATAGACTAGTTTGTAGGAATTGGAACACTTGATCTCAATGTTTGTTTTTTGAAAGAAAAGGAGTTTGTGAATATGTCACTTGAAAAGGTGGGCTTTAAAATAGACATTAATCAAACTATCCAAATTCAAACAATTAACCTTCATCTACAGGCATTCAAGCATTCAATTATTTAAGCAATTAGCCTCATAGAATTCATGCTTTGGACATGGCAACACAAACACTCGATGCAAGATACTAAAGTAATAAAAGTTCATCTAATACTCCAAGCCAATACAAAGCAAAATAATTAGAAAATATGCATGTTCCTTACTTATGTGACTATGGCTAATGCAACACACACATTATGTATTTTATAGGCTCGGCTATGAGCATGGCATAAGATTTTATTCAAGATATGCGATAAGGCACGTATTTAAGAAATATATTTTGGACATTGATATTGGGTTAGCACGATGAGCCGAACCTTGGATGCATGCAAAACGAATGGATGCAAAACATTAAAATGCTAATGAAATGCGATGTCCTATACTAACCATCGTAAGCAATTAAACAAAAGGGAGAAAGACGTGAAAATAGAAAAAAAAAAACACATTATTACAACGTTTGATCCCTTAAGCAGGATAGTGCGAAACAATGTCCGAAAGTCCGAATTAAACTAACTATTACGAAACCGAATGAATGAATAAAATAGGCTAAGCTAATTAACTAGCTAATTAGGCTATCTATGCTATTACAATGGATAACCAAAACAATTACAAATAGACAATAATGAATAATTACAGCACGTAATAATTAACGAGATTAATTACAATGAACAACATTAAATTAATTACAAATCATAATACAAGCAAGGATGTACAAGAATTGCATACATGCACATACACAATGTTTGAGAATAGCCCTGTTTGCTCCAAGCCTGCCCTGTTTCACTTCAGCCGCTTCCCTCTGTTCTTTTGTAAAAAAATACACTGCTGACCAAACTTTGAGGTCGGCCAGCCCTCAATGAAGCCCGACTGGGCATAGAGAAGGCCGGCTATGTCTCAGTTTTTTTGCAAAACTCTGTTTTGTGTTCTGAAGTGAAAACAGGGTAGATAGAGTTGTTCAAGCTCTGTTTGTCCCTTTCTTCCTTCTTTGTTATGGGAAAGCCTCGAGAAAAGGTTGAAATTGATTCCAAAGCCATCAATAAGCAAATTGATTGCTTGATGATTTCGGATACAATTTTGGACAAAATTCAATGACATGCAATGAATATGACCACCCCTCCCTCTTATCATGGAGTAAACTCAAAGAGGGTGGTAGAGGCACTTCAAGAATCATCAAAATACCATGAATTAGCACATGATCACTCTTGAATCGATAAATTTGGCATATCATCCGGCCAAGTTTAAGCAATTTAAGCCATTTTCTTTATGTGCGTTGATCCAATTTTAAACCAATTTGTTTAGTCATTGACATTCATTAGTTCATTTGTCCATGGTGATGTTAAAGTCCGCTAAATAAAAAGTAATGTCAAACGAGAGGTTTTTCTAAAACATGTGAGAGAGAGAGAGAGAGACTATACCGTTGACAATGAATCTCTCAAAAGATTAAGCCATTAAGTAGAAATCTCTCTTACATGTTTTGAGTAACCTTAATCGGTCGAAATCATTCTCAAGAATGAAAGAGATAGATGGTTAGATGGTTAGATGGTTAGATGATTTGCTAGAGTGAGACTCTTAATATGAAAAGTAAGTGAAAGAAAGCTTGAAAGAACATGTAACAAGTTATGTATGTCAATTCATGAGACAACAAGAGAACTAACCAAAACTTGAACCAATTTAAAAGGCTAAGACAACCCTAAAACAACCCTTAATAAATGAAAAATAGAGGCTTAAAGCTCACACCCAAAAAAAAAAAAAAAAAAAAAAAGAAAAAAAAAAGAAAAAAAAAAAAAAAAGAGGTTCAAAACCCATAAAAGGAACTTAAAAGAAGCTAATCAACAAAAGAGGAAACAAGGGTAGTAAACAAGAACAAGGACGGATGGCTAATCCCTCCATTTTTGAAACTCCAAAGACATGATTTTAGCCATTTTTTAACTTTGAAAATCAGTGTAGAAAACGAAGGAAAAGAGTGAAAAAGTAAGGGTTTAAGCTATAGGTAAAGATGTAGAAAGAGCAAACTCTCTCTACTCTTTTGATAGCTCTTCAAACCCAAACTTAAACACTTAAAATAGGATCAAAACAACACAAAATGTTAAGAACTAGATAGCAAATGAAAGAGTTGAAAGAAAGAGGGAAGAATAAGCTTATACCTCTCAAAGAAGTTAGCTTTTGCTTATGATCCAAACTAAGTATCAACACACCCTCAAGCTTGAATTAGGTTTCTCAAAGATCAACTATGTCTCTAAGATGGTGAGACAAAGTTGTGTATAGCGTATGGAGATAACACAAGGGAGGTAGGTTAACTCAAAGGTTGCTTGTTATGGAAGAATAAGAAATGAGGAGCTCTCAAGGTATATATAAGCTTTCTAGAATTTTTGTCAACCTCCAAAACATAGGCTAGACCTTGTTTTTATATAATTTAAGCTCAAAAGGTGATAAATATCTTCAAAAATAGATAGCTAGCGGGCTCTCGCCTAGTACAGTGTTTCTCGCCACTAAGGCTCGACTAACCATTCATAGCCACGGCTGGCCTTCACTGAGGCACGGCTAGGCATTTATGCGCTCTCTTGTTTTTTTTAGTTCAAACTTAGCTCAGGGTGGCAAAAGTTCCAAAAATGAGACTTGGAGATTCAAACAAGGTAAATGGTAACGACTTGAGGTTATTTCGAAAGCCTGACTGAATCCGAATCGCTGTGAATTTAAAGCACACAATTCAACTTTCATCATCGAGTGTATCGAACCAAATACCTAAGTCTTGCGAGCGGTCAAAATGGGGTGTCTACAACATTACAGAGCAACGGAAGACGATGACAACAATTCTGATGAGGCTGACATTCCATTGGTAAGTTTATCTGTCTTGCATTAACATTCTCAGCCATCTTCAATCGTTGTTGTTTTATTCAAGTTGTTCCGTACTAGTTTGCCGACTGTTAATATTATGTTCGATAACAGTACTTAACACAAACATTTAGTTAAATATATAGGTTTCGAACAATAATGCGGATAGTCGGTACAGTTGAACCAAACATGACCTTTATTTTTGGCACTGGTGTGCCGAACGATTTGATGTTTGTATCTTCAACACTAGATTGTGTTTTTGTAAGGGTTTTTTCATCTAAAATCCCATTTTACACCAAAATAAACCAAAAAATAAAAATGTAATAGGAAGAAGAGAGGCAATACTGTTAATAAGATAGGGAGTTAGTATTTACCTGAGAGGAATTTTCGATAAGTTTTCTGCAATGGTGGACAGGAATTTTCGACGAGTTTTTCGACAGTATTTTTTGGACACCATTTAATTGTTTCCTTCTTTCGTTGAGAGTCGACAGGAATTTCAATGATGTTTCAACGGGAGATGGACGATCACAAAAAGGAAAATGAGAGAGGGTGTGCAAAATTAGGTGGGTGCGTATTGGATGTGATAATATTATGAATAAGAGTAAATTTGATATTAAGTGGATTGTTAAAAGAAATCTAATTGAAATTTAGAATTTAGGGTGGGAGCTCAAAGAAATAGAGGGTCCAAATGATTTAGGTAGGTGCTAATAACAACTCTCTTGTCATTTGAATGGGCATGGATGAAATTGCTTTGTGATTGGAAAGTTTGCCTATTGGCTAAAAAATGTAATTTTTTTGTCAATTTTTTTTTTCTTTCAAAACTTTTTTTCTTCTCTCTAGTGACTTTTTTTTTTATTTAAATTATGTCAAAAAAATTTACTTTTTTGATCTATTTTATGTAGATGAATCTAAAAAGTTAAAAAAAATTTAAAAATCCAAAAAAAAAAAAAGAAGAAATAAGCCAAAAACAAAAAAAATTACTATTTTTTGCTTATGTTTTGAACTTTTTTTTATCATTTTTATGTTCGTTTGGCCAAGCTAAATCTATAAGTCAAATGTTTTTTCAATTTTTTTTTATTTAAAAAATTCATTAAAGACATAAATAAGTTTAGAAAAATTACAAAATAAGCAAATCCCAAACACCTTATATTTTTTAGGACATGTATGATAATTTGCATAACAAAAACATTATGTGACAATTTATTTAACCAAACATGGAAAATGTCAATCAAGAAACTCTTATTGACCTTCAAAAATTTGGGTAGGCACCTCACATATAAAAAAAGATTTAAACCATGCAATGGAAACCTTACATTACAATTGAATTTATATTCTTTAATTTTAATTTAATTTATAATAATGCTTTTGAAAGTAGCTGTTTAACTTTAAACAACATTATTAATTGAATTACATTAACATAATTGAAATTTTCAAATTGACAGTAAATTGATAATTATAATAACTAAATTGACACAAGATGCAAGTTTTTTTTTTTTTGATCGGTAAATGTTAGTTGTTAGATTAGCACCTATAGGAGAAAATCTCCCTACCTTAGCATCTAAATTCTTGAACTCCCTTAATTCATCTCTCCTAAAGAGAATTGAACCCAAGATGCAAGTTAAGTTCTTTCCCATAAATTCAAGATCAACAGAACCTTGCATTACAAGATATTGATTCCATTAAGGAAACACAATGACAATTACCACAAATATTGAAGTAATTTGTTCCAAGCTTCCCCAAAAAAACAATGCAAATCAACCTTGTATTTGTTAATTTAACTTGATTTTCCAATCCAATAACATTCTAAATATGGAAGTAAAACCCAAATTCGCCATGACTAAGAAAATCGTTTTCTCACTAACCAAACACCAACTCAGAACTGGCCACGTCCAAAATCAAACCCATGAGGAATCATAGAAGTAGCACAATCACTCATCAAACGCAGTCCACCATGATTCGCACTTTCATTCATACCAAACATCATTGAAGAATTCGCACAATCAAACCCATGAGGAACCATAGAAGTAGCACAATCACTCATCAAACCCAGTCCACCATGATTCGCACTTTCATTCATACCAAACATCATTGAAGAATTCGCTTTCATTATCATCAACTCATCAGCTTTCATACTCACATTCTTCTTCAACTCCTCCAACGCCGCCACGTACTGCTCCAGCTCCTCTAATCCTAGATCATCAACCGCCTCATCCCACCAAAATCCGCCATCATTCGCCACCTTCTTTGTCTCCTCAATCACCGCGCTCCGCCTCTTCTCCGCCTCCAATTCCTTCGAAACTTGGGCGTATTTCTCGTTGAAATCGAGCACCGAAGGGCAGTTGTTCTGCTCGGCGGTGGCGGAGGTTCCGGTGAGGTATCGATCAATGACGGCGTCGACGCTGGGGTGGCCGAAAGCGAAGGTGCGCTTTCCGGGAGATTTGACGACAATGGCGATCTCAGCGCCGCTGAGGATGCAGAGCTCGCTGGCCTTCTTGAAGAGGCCAGCACGGCGTTTCGAGAAGGTGACTTGGCGCTTGCTTACGCTCTCAATCTTCTTGATTTCGATCTTCTGGCGGCCTTGGGTGGTTTTCTTGGTGGTGTTCATGTTGACCATGCAAGAGAGAGTTGTTTGGAGAAAGTTGATGGAGGAAAGTGAAGCTGTTGGAAAGAGATTTTATATGTATTTATTTTTTTAGGTAACACCGTATTTTTTTAGGTAATAATTTGTTTTTGTTTTTTTGTTTTTTTTTTGAACTGGGAAGGTAATAATTTGATATGATTTGATATGTATTTATGTAATAATTTGATATGTATTTATGTAAAGTAATACATGCCTTGTTTTAGGAAAGTTTTAAAATTTTGCTGATCAAGGATCCTTAATATAATATATTGTTTTATTAATATTTTGTTTCTGAATTTAGGGTGTAACAGCTATGCAGTTTTATGGGCTTATTTCGGGACCCATTTTGATAATTCGAACCGTTCACATTTTAAAATGCATCGAGTAAAACATGCCTGTAAAAAATTAAATTAATCGGATATCCTTAATCCTTTCATCCACCTACATTTCTATCTTAAAAAATAAATAATAATTGTGATTTAAAATATTAAAATGAATACAAATATAAGTGGATGGAAGGGTTAACGATATCTGATTAACTTAATTTTTTACAAATATATTCTACTTGATGTAATCTAAAATGAAAATGATTTGAATTGTTAAGACAGATCTCGAAATAAGTTCATAAAGCCGCACAGCAGCAGTGCACACCAGGCAACCCAAATCCATTATTTCTCATGTTTTTTCCTAAAATTTTGCTAATCAAGGATCCTTGATATAATATATTGTTTCTCACGTTCTAAAAAAAAAAAAAAAAAGATTATTGATATATGTCAGTGCTTAATATATTGTAATAAGTGCTTAATATATTTTAAAAAGATCCTTGATATATGTTGAGAGGGTAATTTATAAATAAATTGGGTCGAGTTGGGTAATGGACCGTTCTATGGGCCACAGTAAGAAGGGCTGGGTAAATGGGCCTTGTAGGTTAGTCCGGTCCAAAAGAGCCTTGTAGTTAGGTCAGTCACCACTGTCAGAGTGATAGCAGTTAGCTCGACCATACCCTTCTGAGCCAAGGTACTTTGAGCTTTTCTCATGACCTTACTACGAATTAGCTCGGTCCAAACTCATTATGGTTAGCACGGTCTCAATAGGAGAAGCCGATGTACACACAATGCAGGGAAGAACCGAGCTAGGTAAAGCTCGGTCATTTCAGCCAATTTAGCGTGGCTATGATAGCTCGGTCGTTCTGTCGTACTACCAAGGTAAAACTATCTCACTTGGTTTAAGCAGTGAGGGGGGTGTTGAAGGATAAGTATTATCTTTCAAAAGTGTGACTCCTATGAGGACTCTATATGGGGGAATAGGAGTCCTACTAGGATTGTGCCATGCGAAACCTATAAAAGCTCATAACATCACCTATGGAGAGGTAACACAACTTTGATTCCTGAATTCACAGAGCTTTTGTGTTTATTGTCTATTGTGCTGACTTAGGCATCGGAGGGGTTTCCGGCACACACCCGCTGGTTAGCTCACGTTTGTGTTTTCAGGTGGCAAAGCGACGACGTTTCGAGGAGCACAAACTTGATCAACAGGATCATATGAGAGGAATTATTTCGTGCTCGTACAATTGGCACCATCTGTGGGAAGTCCACAAAGAACAAAACCTCTTGATCAAGTTTTCCTCTTTAGTTGAGATTAATGGCGCACAATGAAGACTTACCACAGTCCGCTATCGACGGACAAACCCCAGAGGGAGATAAGAGGCACAAAGGTTTGCCTTCTATCTCACCCATGGCGGATTTAGAGCCCCAACGACAGAACCCCTAGAGGGATGCAAGGGAAATGCAGGGTAACAGCCTCCGTCACTCTCAAAGCCCCGAAAGGCAGAGGCGGAGGATTGACCCTCAGGTTCTAGAGGATCGCGTGAAGGAACAGGATGAGTTGATACAAAGGATGGCGGCGGACATGGAGTTGATGAAGCGCCAGATAAAAGGAAAAGGGGTGGTGACAGGAGAGGACGGCAAAGGCAGTCCACCCCCTCGCCACTCGAAAAGTCGTGGTAGACACACCACGCCATCACAAGTAGAGAGTAGGAGCCTTAGAACAGGCGACACTCAAACAAGGACGTCCAGAACTCGTTACTCCAGGTCTGAGAGAACGAGAATTGAGACGTTATATACTGAAGAAAGCACCTATCGGCCCTCGCGCACACACCAGACGTCATCCAGGCTGACGTAGTTGCCTAGATCATCTGATTTGCGAACTGTGCTTGAAGAAAGGGCACAGTGGAAAGTGGATGTTAGGGCACGCGACCCGCGCAGAGTTTCAGCCATTCAGCGGTTGGCTCCTCGGACGCACGGAAGCGTCAAGGTAGGAATGCAAATACCGCGCCTTGCCTACGAACCAACGGACAAAGCATTAGTAAGGTTACATAGCTCGCCGTTCGTTCCGGCAATTGAAAATGCGTCATTACCTTCCAGCTTCCTCCAGCCTAAGTTTTCGACTTACGAAGGAAAGACAGATCCCTACATGCACTTAAGCCACTTTTTCCAGGTTATGGCAGTATACCAGCAGAACGAGCCTTTGATGTGCATTTTATTCCATTTAGCCTTGGCGACCTAGGCTTAACCTGGTTTGAAAGGCTACCAGAAGGCAGCATCGCCTCCTGGGTGCAATTGGCCGAGGCGTTCGTGACTAGGTTCAGAACGAACACCAAAACACCAATGGAGATCGATCAGCTACTCTCCATTGACATGGGCGATAAGGAGACGCTGAGATCCTACAACAGTCGTTACTGGGAGACCTTCAACCAGATAGGAAATTGCCCATCTTGCCATCGCGTAGTACAAGAGGGGGCTACTAGCCGGAAACAAGTTGAGGGATTCAATAACTATGGCGCTGCCCCTCATAATGGAGGCCTTGATTGAGCGAGTGCACCAGCATATTCGGGTGGAGGAGGATGGCGCCCGTGCTAAAACAAAATCTGGCACAGCAGCGATACCAGACAAAAAGACTGTGGCAAAAGTCAATACGGTAGAACGCCCCAGTAGGAATGGGCGAGGCAGACGGGCCAACAAAGAGGACTCAGACAAAAGATGGTTAAGAGTCTGCACTGCCATCACAACGATGTTCTAAAAACCGATCTACCGGATTCTCAGTGAGATACGCGATGAACCTTTCGTCAGATGGCCAGCTAAGTTGGGAGAAGCACAGAAGGATTATGACGAAAGGTCCTGGTGTACCTTCCATGATGAAAAGGGGCACCGCACTGAAAATTGCACGCCGTTGAGACAGCACTTGGAGGAGTTAGTGGCAGCTGGGCACCTAGACAAGTACATAGAATGAGGGACACAGCCAGCCCCCTAGAACCACGACAACCCAAGCGGAATGCCAATCGACACCCCACCTCAAGGCGTGATCAACGTAATACATAGGGTATTCGAACCTGAGCGAGTATGTGAGCTCAGGGGAATGATCAAGAAGGCAGAGCGCTTAAGGGAGGTATTAAGTGCACAACCTGCCATTAAAAAGGGGAGGACAGAGGCCACGAATGTCATATCTTTTTCAGACAGAGACTTGGCAAGGATATATTGCCCTCACAACGATGCGCTAGTTGTCACTCTCCGCATCAAGGATTTCGACGTCAAACGAATTTTGATTGACCAAGGGAGCTCATGTGAGATAATGTATTACGAAACCATAATGTACAGAGAGATGCTCTAAACAGAGAGATGCTCCAAATAATGTGCAAAGCCCAAACCTATTTGAACTGAAAATCAAATTATATTCAAAAAAATTATGATGATTAAAACAGACAGATGCTCTAAACAAGTAAATGTTCCTTTTAGTTTTAATTTACATGGAAGCAAGGAAAAAAACTAACACTGAAAAAAGGTCGCAAAATCATAGGTAATGTTTTTTTGTCCATTACTTTATGATAATTTCTCAATCACTGAAAAACAGGTTAATAGAGACAAGATTTATTTATTTATTTATAAAAAAATATTGAGGGCAAGTTAGTAAGTATATTTTGTTATAATAATAGTTATATTTTATTTAATTAATGTGTTAGAAAATAAAGTAATATAAAGATAATATTTTAGGGCCTTTTTGTGTGGATACATATGTAACCCTAGGTTGCCTCATATTATTCATAACAGCAGCAGGAGCCACCACGGGAGAGAGAGAGAGAGAGAGAAAGGTTGAGAGAAAGAAGAAGAGAAAAGAAGGGTTGCAAACAAGGAGGAATTTTTGGGTGTGGTGGGTCTTCATCTTTCTTCTTCCTTTTGGTTTTGTTTTTTATCCTTATTCCATTATTATTTTATTCGTTCATGGAGGTTGTAGGTTTATATATTTTGTATATATATATACCGTTAAGAAATTTGAGGAGTTAAATTCATGTATAAAGAATGGGTATTATTCTTAGTTAAAAAATTCTGCGCATAATCACGAACTTTAAAAATCAAGAAACCATATCAAACGGATGAATTTTGAACTGAAATTTTTACAATAAATCAGTTACATATTGAATTGCATATCTGAATTTTTTCATAATTTTTTGGAGTCAAAATCCATATAAATTAAGGTATTCAAATCTGTCCAGGAAACCAGTCCGAAACAATAAATTCGGGAGTAATGTTCTCTTTGGGTATAAATCCAAAAATTATCAAATTAGTGTCATTAGAACCGGTTACGAGTCTAGTTTCATACGTTTTTGGCCTTGAATTGATTGCTCATGTATATTAAGAGAACCGTCAATTTCTTTAAAGTGCTGCAGAAAACAACCTGTTTGGATATAATAAATTGTAGATAATTATTTTGATAAGAAAATCAAGTGAAACCAATTGTGTTTGAAACTTAGGATATATTAGTTGATATTTGGAGGGTTTTATAATTTTTCGAATAGCGTGGAGTGGGTTTTGTATTTTTCAAAGTTAGCAAATAGATTGGGAAAACTTGTTTAAAACACTGTTTTATCTTAAAGTTATTTTTAGTTAAGTTTCGATCGGAACCTATGTTTTGGGTGATTTTAGACCTTGAAG